TGAGGAAATTAGGAGGGGAAGAATTTTCTCTTTACAAAGATAACACTATTAATTTATAAAAATTTTAACTTGGAAGTTGGTTCTACTTTCAAGATAAAATAGAAACTTCTTTACATAAATATTTGTTAAAGCAACTTATGGGCAGCTACTAGGTATATTTCAAACTTTTGATTTGCAGATATAACAACTGGGAAAAAAACATTTACACTTATTCTTATGAGACAAATTAATGACAATAACTATACGAAAGTTAACATAGAAAGTTATGTTGGAGGCAAGTGAAAGCAAGAGCCACAGTCATTGGAAATACACAGCATTTACACTCATGACAAAAAATTAGCACATGTCCTTACAGAAAAAGCTGTATTTTAGAAACAAGGTAAACACAGAACTAGAAAAATATACTATGGGCTATAAAGGTTGTACAGAAATCCCGGCATGGACATTTCTGAAAAATGGAAAGATTTTAAAAAATCTTCAGTCTACACATTACTGCAATTTTTATTTTTAACAAATTTATCATGTATGACAAATATTAGAGATTTATGTTCATTTTTAATTCCTTTATTCTTTTTTGTTTGGTGGGGCAGTACTGGGGTTTGAACTCAGGGCCTCACGCTTGCTAGGCAGATGCTCTACCACTGTAGCTACTCAGTCAGACCTCAATTCCTAATTAACAGTAGTTTGTCCTTTTGAGGACCTCCAAACTTTTTATTACGTATAGGCAACCAAATGCCAAGTTCAGATAGACAAACTGGATATACAAATGCAAAAGCTAAACTATATGTGACAAATTAACTTAAAAATGAACTCTAACCAATATTGTACATGTTTCAGCTAAATGATAATATTAGTCCTCATTCTAAAGAAAAGAATATGTAAGAGTGAACTTAGGGTAGTATGGGAAAATTCAGATTTTTGGAAATTTGGTCATTATTTGGTTTCAAGAGATATCATATACCAAAGACAAGGCATATTAATAACCATCTACAAGGATAAACTGTCTGTCATAAAGACAGTCCCGGTTATTTAAACCACAATGTGTGTATGTAAACAACTAAACTCAAACATAAAATGTGGTAATCTTCACAAACAAAGATAACCTTAGAATTTGCTTTTATCCATCCTTAATCTTAGTCATTACCTTGCTCACCTAGGGGCCATCAATAGTTAAAGTAGGCTGATCACAGAAAATGACCAAGGAGCAGAGAGACTAACTGATCTCCAGGACTGGCTTCAAGGGCAGAGAATTATAACTGACTGAGTAACCACTCAGTACCACACGACATAGAAAACTCAATCATTTTCTGTGACAAAACCAGAAAAGATATTCACCTGTATAATATTACTTCCAAATTTAAAAATCTATGCACAGTGGAAATTAACAGTGTCTGAAAACTGGCTTTCTCACAGGATAACTAATACCAAAATAAGTGGCTTATAAATTTAAGAATTTTGTACTTTGAAGGCTAATACTATGAGAAGTAGTTATTTAAGACTGTCATAGTCATTAAATCCCTAAAGTATTCAATTAAGAAGGGAAATAATAATTCATAATTAAAGTTTATAAATAATTAAAGGTCTACCCTATGAATATAGGATAGGACTGTTACTTAAATATTTGCACATGAAAGCTCTAATATTTTGGCTAAACAGATATATCCTGTTTGAATTTCAAAGTTTGCATTAACTGACTTTAATATGGTGCACAAATAACTAAAAAAATAAAGTGAGGAAATCATTCTAAAGGATGACAATCACAATTTCACTGCTCTCCCTCCTATATAGGCAGACAAAGGAAATGAATGAATCCAAGTTTTAAAAGGATACATGCATAGACAAAAAGAACAGAGCTTTCCTATTTTCAGAGTATAATGAAAAACATAAGTAAAAGTTTGGGAAAAAAAAAAGCCTACATGATATAGGCATGACTAAAATGAATTAAGAATAAAGACCTAAATTTCAAAATACAAGAGTTCATTCAATAAACTGAGTATTATTTATTAGATTCTATGGCACCAGAGTTAGGGTCTATGGCCGCACCACAGAAGATGGATCTGAAGAGGAACAGTAAAGATGCCTATGGTCACTCAGGAGAGCACTCTACAGGATAAAGAAGAGAGGAAATCAATAGTGTTCAACAAGTGTGAGACACAAAATAATCAACACATTACTCATGTGACTGACCAATTGGAATGACTATAAACAACCCATAAAGTTAACCACTGTAAGCCAGGGAACATTAGCCCTGGGCATGCTTACATACTGTACTGATGAACTAGCTCATCAGCTCTTCAAACAAGCCATGATGAAGGTAGCTTAGTTACTAAATAGAAGAAAAATACCAAAAGGGGAAATTTATTATCCTCTTCCATGGGTGCTGCCTGAATGAATGTGTTATGAAAAAGCTTTTGTAAGGTAAAGTCAAGAAGAGTTTAGGAAAAAAGTCACATGGTCTTCTTCTATGAAAAACATTAAAATACTTTAGGGAACAAACTTGGAAACTGTGGAGTTATGAGTAATGGACCTCAACCTCACAAAAGTTTATGTGATAATACCAACATGAGGTTAGTAGGAAGTCAAATGACTATTAAGGTAATATTTAAAGGTAAGGACTGCTTTAATTTCCTTCTTTGCAAAAGAAGGTGCAAAGTTATATAAAAGCTCTTGCTATATAATACAGAAATAGAAATTATTTTCAAGCTACTATATACATATACACAAACATGTAGGCTCATAAGTAATAATTCAGTTCACTTCCTTTTTCAGTTTTACATTTCTACATTGTTTCACTTGATCTAAAAATCAGCACAAAAATAAGGCAAGTAAACTTTTTCTATGTATACAGTGACATAAGGTACACATATTCATGCTTCCTTTTGAAATGTAATTGTGCTGGGAATCAAACCCAGGACCTCACTCATGCTAGGCAAGCACTCTACCACTTAAGCTACACCCTTAGACCTAAATGGACAAAATTTATTACATTTAATTATACCTCAGTACTGTTGACAACAACAAGAAGATGATACATTCCCTGTTGTTTCTGTATGGGATAGAGTGATCTTCTTTGGCTTCTATATTAACCCTACAAAGTGTCCATGGGACATAGGTAAATTATACTGGAAACTTGAAATGATATAAAATATTATATCCATTTTACTGAAGAAGAAATTGATGCTTAGGAAAGTTAGGTTATTTGTGAATATGTGAATTCTCACTCTTACTACAACAAACTTGCTAGCTAACCTAGCTTTCAAGGACATAAGCTGTATGTCTATGAAATACACAATAACTCTGGGAGGAACTAGGTTATATAAATATAATCCCTTTTATTGATGAGGCAGAGATAAATAAAGACATTATGCAAAGCTAGTATTAAATTATAAAAATTACTGTTAAAACTATTATTACAAAATGATACTACTGTAAGTAGCTGTTCTCAGTCTTGGGATCAGATTGGATAAGGAAATAAAGTGTGGAGCACAGAGTACTTTGCTGAGCTATTTTTATATTAACTTATGGAAAGAGTTCAATGTGGAATATTGTAGTTGTGGTCTGTAAGTTAGAAAAGGTTTTGAGAGACTATTTTTTTTCATAAAGTTAAATGAAAGAAAGCCCTGAGCCACTCAGATAACTGTGCAAATTTCTATCGCACTTATTTCAGAGATTCATTTAAAAGGTTCTATGCACAGAGGGCACAGCATGCCAATGAGTTCAATTGCTCCATCTATTCTCATGATTGCAAGGACTGGAGGTGTGGCTCAAGCGGTAGAGTACCTGCTTTGCAAGCGCCTGCTTTGCAATGGTGAAGCCCTGGGTTCAAGCCCCAGTTCCACCAAAACAAACAAACAAGTAACTCATTGACTACAAAACCTTCTAACTGTTGATCTTTACATCATAAAATGAAAAAATCTGTACTGTGGAATTTAAATAATCAGACATGTTGGGTTTTTTCAGCTACTTAAACTTAAGATGGGAGTATCATGATCCTACATAATATTTAGTAAGTGACAAATATGTAAAAGAAAATATTTAAGGCCTCCAAGTTCTGATTCTTTTGGAATGGCTGATTGTGCATTCAGAAATAAATAAACAATAAAAGTAGCTTTCATTCGTATGTAATAAGATGATCTTAATGACTGAATAGGTTTTTCTTATTAAAAGATCACTAGATGAGGATCTAAATGTCAGAATATCTAGACTATGAAAATTTAATGTCTGACCCAAATGAAATAGTGTAACTTCTTTTACTTAAGTTTGCGTAGTTTTAAATAAAATACAAGCATTCATACCTCATGCTTTCCATATATACCTAGTAGGTATACAGAGTAGAGTGTGAATGAAATTCCATCCACATAAAGCAGAAATACACTGAGTGCCAACATTCAGAAGAAATATGCTTAACCAGGCATGGTGGGGCATGCCTGTAAAGCCCAGCTACTGTGGAGGTGGAGATCAGAAGGATTGTGGTTCAAGCCAGGCTTAACAAAAGTTAGGAAGACCCCATCTCAACAAACAAACTAGATTTGCTGGTGCACACCTGTAATAAGAGAAGCTGCTATGTCAGTCTCAAGATCAGATTGATTAAACAAATGAAACACAGATTGCATAAGTAGGAGGATTGCAGTTTGAGGCTGGCCCTGGGCAAAAACCATGACATGCTATCCAGAAAATAATTAGAACAAACAAATAAAAAAGAGCTAGGGCAGGGTTCAACAGGTAGAGGACCTGCCTAGCAAGTGCCAGGCAGTGCACTCAAATGCCAGTACCACCAAAAAAAGAAAAAAGTATGCTTAGATTATGAAATAGAATACTAAAATGAAATACTTTAATACAAATTTCATTATTTGATTTTATATTTTTATACTATTATTTTCAATTACTTAACCTGCTAAAGACTTCTTCAGGAAATTCTTATCTAGGCTTAACCATACATAGCACAAAATTCAATGAAAAATAGTACATAACTTTTATAGCAGTAACATAAACAAAGATTGACCAAAAGCAAATTCATTGGTTGTCTGCTCTGGGAGGCTCAGATGGGATTGGTTGGACTCACCTTTACCCGCAGGCTGAGGCACTGCAAACCCGGGCAGCAGAAAGGGTGCCCCTGTGGTAAGGCCAGCTGGCTTGAGATCACTGACACCATACGTCGTCAGGGACGTTATCAGGTTGACCAGATCTTTCAAGGCATCTTTGGACTCTGCCTCTTTTGCTTGTTCCAATCTGGGAAAAGTATAATTTAACATTTTTTCCTTTTGTTATATTCTTAAATTTTATACAGAAATTGTTTTCCAATTTTAGATTCAGTAAACAGACATATAAAGTAATTGGACACGTTTCTTAAACATTTCCTATATAAGATACTATGGTGTGTTTAAAAGAAACGAGGCCAAGAATCAGAAGGACTGATACAGTCTAAGTGCAGGTTGTGCCACTAGCAGTGTTATTTTAGGTAAACCACTAATCTTTGATGGAAATCCCCTTATGATAAAAGAACTAAGTTAAATAATTTTTCAAGCTCTTAAAATTGTAAAATTATACATTTTTAACTGCTTACAACCCAAACCTTTTAAACCATTCTTTCCTATGACATTGTCTCTGTAACCTATGATTAAAAATGAACTCCTTGGGACAAGTTCTAAGAAATTTGCCTGTACTGCATCAATTTAATCAGGTGCTACCATTAGAGAAAGTGCTGGGAATCTAAAGCAGTGCTTTAGATGATCATAATTTCTTTTGGAAGAACTCTATTTGGGGTTAGGAAGGAATTATCTTTTGATTCTAGCTTTATTGAGAACATATATTTAAAAGAATGAGATTTATTCTAGTTTTCCGCTTAGGAGAGGTTATTCCCATCACAGTTAATTTGGAGAATGCACAAAAGTAGGAGAAACGAGTGCTCAGAGTCACAGAAGACTACCTTAACATCCTATCCATTTTTGAATGTGTCTGTTTTAGTCTGAGTTTAGCTTTTGTAGAATTTATTCTCCTATCATATGCACAATTTTATAGCCTATTTTTCTCTTAACTTCCAGTACAGTACGTATGTCTCAATGATAGTGTGTGCGCTCCTCAACAGATATGCTTCTGATGCCACAGAGGAAACCACAGCGTTGAGCAGAGAGAAGGTAGGCAGACAGCAGAATGTAAGAGCACTAGTACACACAAAACTTCATCTGCACTTCGAATGGTATCACTAGGACAGTAACTCTAGATAAGTACTGTGTCAGAGTGTGAACACTTTGGAGGCACATGATGGTATCTTATCCACTTGCATTCTCAAAGTATCACACTGATTAATGCCCCAGTGGGATGTGACTGGTGATGCCACCAACTTTCATATGTCCTCTTATAAATTTATAAATTATATATGCTAAAGTATGTTCTTGAGAGTTGCCTGAGGTTAACTAACAGTAAATAGGTTAAGTTAGTGTCAGCAATAAGAAATTTACAACACAGTGCTGTTAACAATAGACACGTGATTTAAAAATAGAGTCCGAGCAATAGCTAGTGGTGAATGAGTATATTTCCCTATAAAATTTGTAACCAGCCACTTTCTAACTATATACATAAACCATATGGAATGGAAAAAGGGTAAGTGGAACATATTTGAATGACTACTTTGTTTCACAAACACATTTATAAAATCTTATTCAATATAATTGCTCTTGTATTAACTTCATTAAAAAATACTAGAAGTACTACAAAATAAGGAAAACCAAGAATGTAAGCAAAGAGTTTATCTTTCATAAAGATGTTAATTCATTCAAATAACCTTATCTGGCCCAGTTACTAAAGAAGAGGAATGTTATTCTTCATATCTAATCCTATGTTGGAGGTCTGCATTTTACAATTTTATTCTAAATTCATTTTTTCTGCTCTCTTGACAGAAGTACAAAAGGAGGGAGTAAAGCAAAGAAGACAGCCAAGTAGACCTTAAATAAGTGTTTGTTTGCTTCCTTCTTATAATCCCAAAGCCCATCACTTCTTCTGATTAAAAAACAAAAAAGAGTAGACACTTAAAACATATATTCTTAAATTATGGTGTTTACCTAAGCAAAAGATCACAAAGAAAATTGTATCCTTGCCATATCCGAAAATCATCCAAAAGTGTTTGGGAAACATCACTGGAGTCTTTGAGGAAACAAGAAAGCCCAGCAAACATTTCAACAATTTCCAGGGGAGACAGGTCATCTGATTGCTGCATATTCTGAACACAGGTAGATAAACATTCTTTTTCTGTAACAATAATGAAATAAGTATGTATTATTTATGAACATTACTTAAGAAAAGTGTTCTTCACTCTCAACTGTTGTTCAACACAACATTAAATTTTAGTGTACCTATAGAATACTATGAGATAAATGTTATACATTCTACAAGTAAACACAAGATTCAGATTCACTGGAAAAGTTCTACCTGTAAAGTAGTGAACAAAGGACAATGTAGGAATGAAAAATACTTGACATGTTTTACATTTTGATGTTTTATCACATAATAACTTGCCATGGTAGATAATTTTTTATTTTTATTTAGTAACAATAAAAAAATGAAAAACTACCTGTTTCATATGTATTATTTAATTAGTGTTAAGTGAACTAATAGTTATATTAATTATTTTAAAACTTTTAGATAATCATATATATATTATATATATTATTATATATTATCATATATATTATTTTATATATTATATATATATAGGACAATTTTATGTAAGTGAACTACTTGACATCCTACAGCAATGATTTCCTATGTGAATATCATAAAGGATGGTTGAAAACTATGTAAGAATTAAATAGACAAATAATTTATCCCTCTTTAGTACTGGTAAGGAAATGGCCTAATACCATGTATTCTGTATCAGGATACATTTATTTAAAAAATGGATAAATTCATTAAGAAATGAAATATCTATTTATGAAATACCTTCTGAAGCTGCAGCATTTCAAAAATACTTGCCTTTTTTCAGTAAAAGAGTAAGCTATGACACAAACTCACAGTGAATTATCATTGAACATTTATACAACAATGAAAACATTTCAACTTTTGTAAATCACCATCATTCAGAAACCAAGAAAATTTCTTACATCTGAAATGTCCCACAAGTAAACATTCTTTTCTCCAGGAAAACTTACTTTTTAATTTAAAGGCCAATGTTTGGACAACTCAAAGGTAACAATAAACCTGTCATCAAATGAAGAAAAGTAGGAGAGACTGGGAACACATGAGACGAGTACACAAAGAGGTGCTCACCATGAATATACTTCACTACATTGACACTAAGACCGTGACGAGATATGGTCATCAGGACTTCTCCGGCACTCTTCCTCCAAGGCAGGTTATAGGGAGGGCACCAAGAGGTTATTGCACTGAATAAAAGCTGGAGATCATCTTTCTGAGCCAGCTCCTCTGCCGGAGAAACAAAACTGCAGAGCTTTACTAAGATCTAAAAAACAAGAGGGTATGTAAGTAAATAAATGGTTGAGGGAAAGGAAGAGATAGAAAATGGTGAGAACTAAGCATTGTTAAAAAGTTCAGAGTAAATACTGAACAGTGTCACTAAAGCCACAATAATTAGTACTTAGACAATACTTAAAAAGTCATCTATCTACTGCTGGTGGGAATGCAAGTGGGTACAACCACTCTGGAAAAAAATTTGGAGACTTCTTAAAAATCTAAACATAGACCTGCCATATGATCCAGCAATCCCACTCCTGGCAATATAACCAAAGGAATGCAACACAGGTTACTCCAGAGGCACCTGCACACCCATGTTTACTGCAGCGCTATTCACAATAGCCAAGTTACGGAAACAACCAAGATGCCCCACTATTGATGAATGGTTCAAGAAAATGTGGTACTTGCACACAATGGAGTTTTACTCAGCCATGAAGAAAAATGAAATCTTATAATTTGCAGCTAAATGGATGGAACTGGAGAACACCATTCTGAGCGAGGTCAGCCAGGCTCAGAAGATCAAAAATCGTATGTTCTCCCTCATATGCAGATTTTAGATCTAGGGCAAATGCAGCAATGTGGTTGGATTTGAATCACAAATGCAGCAATGTGGTTGGACTTGAATCACAAGACAAGAGGAGAGCACATACAGGAGATATAGGAATAGGCAGAAAACCTAAAACATGAAAGCATTTGACGTCCCCACTCCAGAGGAACTAATACAGAAACCTTAAAACGACAGGTTATCATGAGCAGGGGATCAGGAACCAATGTAAAGATCAGTTAGAGTTGAATCAACATGGGTTATAACACATGGGTACACGAAAGCAATAGTAGGAATCTCTCTGTATAGGTATCCTTAACTCAACTAGCAAAAACGCTTTGTCTTCCTTATTATGCTTATGTCTTTTCTTCAACAAAATCTGCCTATTCAGGTAGAATAGGATCTGCCTGAAACTGAGGGGGGGAAGGTGGGTGAGGGGGGCAGGGTGGAGAAATGGCCCAATGTATGCACATGTGAATAAATGAACAACAACAACAAAAAACAAAACAAAACCCCAGTACTGCCAATAAATAAATAAATAAAATGTTGGATTAAGGAAAAAAAGTCATCTATAATTTAGATGTGTGTTAAACTAAGACAGTATATTAACCTTACTTAAACTAGCTTATTTTTTTAAAAAAATTTACTCTCCTTTCTTTACCATGAAAATTTTGTATACCTAAGCTTGAAACAGAAAAAAAAACAGCATTACATTTTATGGTTAGCATTTTTTTTTTTGCTTAATTTTTAGTGTGCACAGGTGAAATGTAATTTTCTTTTCTAAAATAAATGGCTTTACTCTAGAAGTCTAGAAACTCTATACTCTACTCTTAACTTACCATACTACACAAGTGCTCACAGCATTAAGGGGCTGCTACTTGGGGAATTCAGCAATAGTTTCTGCCCTCAATGAACTCTTCCTCCTAATCCAAGCTCGGTGTTGAGAAAAGTCAACTTCTCTGTGCTAAATTTTCTCAACTAAATATTTTTTGAAATATAAAATAACTACGAAATCATTTTAGCCTCAGGAAAGAAGAGTGCTTTATGAACATTTAGTTTTTCAACATTAGTAGGAAAAAGAGGCACAGCAGACCCTTGGTATCCACACTGTATGGCTCTAAAAAGACTGCCATTGAGGAAAACCCGCCAGTGCTCGGATGCACAGTTCAGTGCTCTAAAGATACCCATATTTTCCCATACCATATGTGCAGTGGGTCTGAGCATCCATAACTTGAAACTGCATGGAGCTGTCTACGTTACTGTCACAAAATTACCAATGTACACATTAATACTATTCACCCCAAACTAGAACTTATGTCATGTTCTTTACCTCAAACACTGTGGATGTTAATTCATTTTTCCCATAATGCCTCCAACTTCCACTAAAGAAATGCAGCCTCTCAACAAATCTATAATTGTCACTATGTCACTTTAATTAATAAACACATTCACTTTTATCTTGCTTTTTGGACGCCATTTGCTTTGTGGAGTCAGATTCTTACAAAATTAAGGACAGGGACACTTAGTAGATTACACAATGATTTAAATACAACTAAGGGTAATGGGATAGATTGAGAGCTTCTCTGCATCCACTGAGATATGAAATGTGCAAGAAGGAGTTACAAATTTTTTAATTTCTTATTTACTTAATTAATTAATGTGACTGTACTTGGTCAAAGGCACATATAAGAAAATCATGAGTAAGATGAACTTACTATATTTCATACATCACGTTTTGCCTGAGAAAGCTAGGTCCTCCTTTTCCTATTCAGTGAAAAACTTGCTAAAATACAAATGCTTCCTAGCTAATAGCTGCCAAGTATCAGGATAAAAAAGGATTAAGAATTCATAAAAACAGTAAAATATTTATATAATTTATATAATCAGTAAATATGGGCACCTTCCTCCCCAAAAGCCATAGAACTACTGGATCCTGAATGTTCAGTGATACGTATAATGTGTGGATCTTTCCATATGTAATAGGCAGCCAAATGCAACTGAAAGTATATGCTCAGAGAGGCAAACTGTCAGTTACATTTGTTGTTGGGTCTTATGCTGCCTTATGTGATTAGAGGGACAGATGCCATTTCTTTAATTTGTAACAGAGAAAACAAACCCCACCACAGCAAGATTTTTTTTTTAAATGGAAATCCCTACTCACAAGATAAAACTACATTTCATGAATCCTGGAATCCCAAGGTAATTAGTTCTTAATCTTACAGGGGAAATGATTCTTATAAGTAATCTAGGATAATCTTTTTCTTTTACAGAATAGGAAACTGAAGAGTCTACTCACTCCTCTTCTGCCCCTACACTAACCACTTCTATTTGTAGGGACTTTGTCACAAAGTCCAACCAAGGGTGGCAGAGTAATGACTGGGCACACCAACAAGACAATGAATGCCTGTGGAAGCAGCACCAGCCATTAAGGTCCAGGAAACCATTTGCCATTTAAGACAAGCACAGGATCTCATCTATCATAAAACATTTCAGAAGCTTGTCTCAATCGTTTCCCTAAACAAAATGGCAAAAATAATATCTAGCCCAGGATGAGGGAGGAAAAAAAGGAAGTGAGGCACTAAAGAAGCTCTGGACTGAGTGATGGGAGAGAAGGTTCTCATCACTGCAGCTCCACTACTGTGGGCTACAGACAAGAATGTGTGTCCACCATGTAAACAAGAAGTTTGATTTAAATTATACTTTGAGCTCCTTTTGGCCTTAATTACAGTATACTAAAATGAGTCCCACATTATTTGAAAGCAACATCCACTGCTTTCAAATATAAGGATTTTTTTTCCTAAGTTTTAAAAAGAAAACTTTGCTCTGCTTACTTAGGTGTTAGACATAGAAAATCCGGATTCCATTTGTTGTTTAAGGCATCAATTAGTTCTTTAGAGGGGTTTTATTGAAATGGGACCACTGTTCAGATCATCAGACTAATCCACTACATTCATTACCAAGGTCTTCAAGCAGCATTAATTCCTACTCATTTATTCCTTCACTCATCCCCATGGCCTTTGTAGTCGAACAAAATCGGAGAGTCAGACAGATGAGTTCTAAACCTGTTTCTGCCACTTGCTTGCATAATCATTTTGGGAAAAAACAAAAGCTCTGAAGTTATGGGATTGTTTTGCAAATTATGTAAGATGAGAGGTTATCCATAGCATTATCAAAGAAACCAAATGTTCAATTCAGTATTTGTTGACTTAATATTTTATTTGGTAATCCCAATATTGTCCTTCCAAAAGCTGCATTGGTGTCTGTCCCCTGTCCTTTCAGCAGTAGCAAGAAGTGAGTTGTACAGCCAAGACACCATGAGCATGCAGTGAGTGCTGCTGTCATCTGCACCCACGCATCCCACTGTCCCCAATCTCTGCTGACCCTCATGCAACAGCAGCAACCATGGGTCCTTCTACTTCACGTCCAGTCTACTAGGTACCAAGCAGAGCTCAGCATTGCCTCACTGAAACCACATCGAAACCTGCTAAGCAGGCATTGTTTTCATTTTATAGGTGTGAAACTTGCATCTCACTTTAGGTAACTTCAGTAAGCCAGATTCAAAGGTTAGTGTTGTTGTTCTTTATTTTTATTATGGTTAAAAAAAAAAAAACCTCAACACAATTTACGAGCTTAGCCATTGCAAGTGTACAGTACAGTACACAGTAGTGTTAACTATATGCATTGCTGTGTAAAAGAGCTCCATAACTTTTTTATCTTGCAAAACTGAAAGTTCACACCCAGTGAACGGGTTCCTTTTCTCACCTCTTCTTAGTTCCTAGCAATTAGCATTCTACTCTTCATTCTAATTGTTTGATGACTTTATTATTTATTTTTCACACAAGAAAGTATGTTTTTATTCTAGCTTACTACAAGTTGTAACAACTAATGGATATTGATATATTATCAAATGTTTTACAATCTATTGACAGGATCATATTATTTTGTCCTTTTATGTACATGGGATAAAATGTATTAGACTTTTTTAAGCTAAACAAACTTCACAATTCTACCATAAACTCTTTTTGCTCATATATATTATTCTTTCAATGTATTACTGAATTTGATATTTTACACTGGATTTTTGCAACTGTATTTGCAATTAATGTTGGTCTAGCTTTATATACTGTTATTACTGGTTGTTATTATGAATGTTGTGTTTTATTTTGTGACTGTTTCTTAGACAGATGTTTCTGGCTTCTTCCACAAAATAGATGTACTTTGATTTTCCTTATTTAGCTTTCATTTTATATCCTGAAGAATCGTTTTATGAACACTTTTGAATGTATTAAAATATATTTGCTTGATGACTTTACATATCTCGATACCTCATAAAAGTAGTCATGCAGCATTTGTTGTTTTTAGTCAAAAATGTGCCTTTTATACTATATTAGATAGGTTCATGGACAAGATTATTCTAAATGTTTGTAGATTTGTGTCTTTAAGTTTTTCTACCAAGATAAGTTGTCATACATGATGACCATATTGCTGTGCTAGTGAACAAAAGCCCTGTGAACCTTTGTTCTCCCGCAATGCTGTTAAAAGAGCAGTGCTAACCGTAGGAAAGTGTTTGCAGGGGCAGAGGAGGTGTCACATCAGCCAATTAAAAAAAGCGGAAAGTTCAGTATTGGTAAGTTAGAGAATAACAAAAAAATAAACAACTGAACAGAATTTCCTGACACTGTAAGAAATACTACCCAAATATTAATCTGACAAACTAGTCAAATAAGTTTTCCCTGGTTAATTAATTTTAGAGATGTTATTGACCTATCAAATGTAATTTTAATACCTGGCTTTGTCAAAAGCAACAAAACTTTACATGTCTCACTCACATATTCCTGAAAAGAATATTTCAACATTCTTTCTGCATTTATAAGAAATGTTACAATTATATGTGGGAAAAAGTCATAATAGGCAGTATGAAATACTATATAAAATGGAACAGGTAGCCAGGTGTGGTGTACACACCTCTAATCTCAGTACTTGCAAGGCTGAGCCAGTCTGGGATACACAGCAACACTCTGACTCAAACAAACAAACAAAAAATAGAAGAGGTAAAATGTCTACTTAAGGAGTGCTCCTATTTCATGTAATCATAGCTCAAAAGACATCCAAATAGCACCTTCCCTACCTGTACAAAAACTTTCTGGAGAAGTCCTCGACGCTCTGCTAGAGGTAGCTCGTTCTGTGCACCTCCAACTGCCTCAGGCACATGTGGAAGGTCAAAAAACAGATACAGACATTTTACCAGGGTGGAAGGCACTGACATCGTTGTCATGCAGTCCACGGTTTTCTGGAAAACAAACCATTAAGCACATGAATAGACAAGCAGGCATGACTATAACTCATACAGTTGACTAATTCACCAACGTTAAGCCAGAGAATTATATATCAGGATCATTTTTTAAACATATGCAAGGATTAAAAATAACTGCAGGCTGAGAAACATTCAATTTCTCATTTGGACAAATTTACTTTAATCAAATACTGAGATTGATTTGCTGGTTACATAGTGAGTTATTTGGTGAATCTGATATTTATTAAGAAACAGCTTGTTTTATCGTAGGTTCTTGTAGCAGGAAGGACAATTGAGAGACACAGCCATCATGGGTACAAATGGAACTCTATTATTTTCAGAGGAAGAAATTCTAGACATTCTTGCAAACATTTCAATATTGCTAAGAAATATGATATAATAATTATCAAAATTTTCTGTGGTACAGTTTGTCATGCAGTTTTATTGCACTAGGACTGGCATTATTAGTTTATTAACCTTCTCATCAAATGTATTTACCACATGCCTAGGGTGCGATGGGCAATGAGTGCAGAGCTCCTCAGGCAAAGACCAGGCATCCCACCACAGTCCGTTAGTGTAAGCAGATTTCCAAGTAACTATGACTTAATCTCTTAAGTACAACAATGGCTGTTCCTAAAGCCTGATATAAAATGGAATGGTCAACACCCATGGAATGAAATAGAAAACTGTAAGGAACTAAAATAAGAAGGGAAAATTTACCTGAAGACTTACGGGAATTTAGGTCTTATGGTACACTATGTTTGATGAACCACAGTGTCCAAAAAACCAAAATAATGATGGCTAATCTTTAGTGTTCACTGTGCAAAAGGTACAAGGTCAAAAATTTTATGTAAATCAGCTCATCAATTCTTCAAGTAAACGCTATGCGGTAGATACTGTTACCGTATGATCCTTATTTTAGGGAGGAGGTAATTGAGGATCATCACTTACATACCCTGCTTTCGGGTATGGACTGGGTAAGTGAGCCCATTCCATGTATGCTCAATGACCTATGAAAATGGCCTAATGTTCTTGTTTGACCTATATTTTACTGGCAATGGACACCCAATGAAATGTTACAAACAAAAAGTGACAGAACTAGAACTCATAAAACTAGCTGGTGGTAGTACAGATTATAAATTAATATAAACAACCAGAAGGTGAGGGCAATTAGGACACTAATATGAAAAACCATAGAGAGATGAGGACTAAACTAATGCAGAAGTTAGGTAATGGAGAGAAGAGCTTCAAGAATAATCCTTTCTGTGGCCAGGTGCAGTGGCTCACACCTATAATCCCAACCACTTGGGAGGCAGAGATAAGAAGGGTCGTGATTTTGAGGTCAGCCCAGGCAAAAGCTTAGCCAGACCCCATCTCAATCAATGGTGTGGGGTGTGCGCTTGTTATACCAGCTATGCAGGAGGGGGAACTAGGAGAATGGTGGTTCAGGACTACCCAGCCAAAAATGAAGAAATGCTTCAGGTTTTTGAAAAATAACTAAAGCAAAGGGGGCAGAAATGTGGCTCAAGTGGGAGAATGTCTGCCTAGCAAGCAGGAGGCCCTGAGTTCAAACCCCAGTACCACCCAAAAAAAAAAAAAATCCTTTCCAAGCCCTGGCACTTTTCCACATATCTGAAATAAACCCTCCTGTCAATGCCCTGTGTCACCACACATGTAACATTCAGTTTAAAATGTCTGCTATGTCTAAAACTTTCCTTAATTTTTTTTTTTTTTTTGCTGGTACTGGGGATTGTACTCAGGGCCTTGAGCTTGCTAGACAAGTGTTATACCAGTTGAGCCACGACTCTAGCTCTTTTTGCTTTTAATTACTTTTCAGATAGTCCTGTGCTTCTGCCAGGTGTCACCCTTAGACAGCAATCCTCAGACTTCCACCTCCCCAAGTAGCAGGGATTACAGCTGTGAGTCACCACGCCCATTCTGTTCTTTGACATAAGGTCTTACTAACATTTTTTGCCGAGCTATTTTAGAACTGCTACCCTTCTATTTCTGCCTCCCAAGCAGATGGGATCACAGGCATGAGCCACAGCACAGGGCCTTCAAACCTTCTTAACTTCATCTTTCCTCTCACCCTCAAAATGTGTAACTCTCCCATTTCTTTTCCCATAGCAGTACACACATCCATTATTCTATTTTATGGCATTACCTTTTTCTATTTCATTTCTGAAAGCTACACATTGAGTCAGGCCCCAATTTTAGTCATCTCTGTGTCACTGTTGCCAGCAGAAAATGGCATGCAAACAAAAAGGCAGCTCAAAGCGTAACACTGAATTTGCTTTTTGAATGTTCCATTTTCTGTTAGATTACTACCAGCGTTCTCTTCCTGTTGAGCAAAGCAGTGTGACTTTTCCTTTTCATCTTATCACTAACAGATCTAAGGAATAGCTTGGCATCTAAGCCGGTATCTGCAACATTTGTAATTGTTTCAAGTGATTAGGTTTCTCCTGATTCTGTTGTTACTTCTTTTCTTTTCTTTTTAAATTTGAGACAGGGTCTCACCTATATAGCCCAGACTGGCCTGAAACTCATGATCCTCAAGCCTCAGCCTCTGTGTGCTGGTATTACAGATGTAAGCCACTGCACTGTCTCTTCCACTTTTAAGGCTGACTATTCACTTGTGCATGTTAACGTTAATCCACATTTATTGGGTTTCCACTGTGTTAGGTATTATGGGACAGTCTTGCTCACAAATGGGAAGGAGAGATGAAACCTCTACAGAAAATATAACTTTTAAACTTATAAACACTGTGATTAACTTATTACCATTAAACATATAGGAAACATTAATAGTAGTTATTTAAAATAAAATTTAAAGTTTGAGTAAACCAAATTTTAACTCAACAGTAGCAGAGAGGCATTTATAGCTAATATCTAAAACAGAAAGAATTGAGACTTTTGTTAATCACAGGTACATGAAAATAATGGTCTACTTTAGGACTGTTTGAAGGGTGGGGTCACTGAGGCCTCTCCTGGAATGAGGTGTTTTCCATGGTAAAACATAGAAAGTCCCAAGTTATGGAAAGCCAGGACAAGGTGGTCCTGCTGATTCCCTGAGAAAACCAAAAAGATGAAACAGACCATTTCAAGGAAAAACTGTCAAGTGCTACTTCCATTGGGCTAATGACTAGTTTCAGCTTATGACCAGTCACTATAAAATGAATGGTGTCAGAATCACCTTTATAAACTCCATTATTAAATGATGAGAAGTTCTCAAAGTCCATTGTAATTTACACAGCAGACACCCCCAAGATTAGTAACTCATTTTGACAATCTGGGACTTTAGAAGGTCAAATAAACCTCCTCATTTCAAGAACATCAAAGACCAAAAACTCGGGTGTCCCAATGGCTCATTAATGAATACGTGAAACATGTATCATGTCAGATATCTAGAGCAGATGAAAAAGAAATTAAAAAAGAAATCTCTGCTATAAATCAAGTGAGAAGGCTACATGCATTACCCTGAAAATGTCATGTCCCCTATTTTTCATGAAAATCAAAAATATTTTAAAGTGTTTCCTGTGTCATTTATTCCTTACTAAGTGAGTGATGTTAGATGAGTAAACATTTTCCAAGTCAGAGTTTTCCTAACATGGGTGACACAAGTGTTGTGCAGGCCTAAAGAACCCAGATTTCTTTGGCTACTTGCCTCTGGTCACAAGTAGTCCATTTCTTTGCCTAGTGCACTGTCAAATGGTACAATGTTTAACTGTTTCTTGCAATATGACAACAGAAAGCACTTGCATAAGCCACGCACTTACTCATGAGTAAAATGTCAAGCTCCTAAGAGGCATGAAAAGCATGAAGTTGTACGCAACAAGAGTCAGAACAAAATGATTATCATAATATCTTCTTTGCACATGATGATAAGCTCAGTATCAAAATCCCAAAAGAGGATATAAAAAAAGGTTGAGTGAAACATGAAAACTAAGAGCTCACCTGACCAGAGGATGCCAACAAGTTAATTGTTGTCAGAAGCATCCAGCCTCTGCTGGCTTCTTCACTCTGATTAATCTCCAGGAACTGAACTATGGCCCGACTGGCAGCCTCTACAAAACCAAAGGGAAGCCATTAAGTAGGGGGAAAATCACTTATAAAGAGGGGTCCTTCCTTCAAACCTACCCAGGGAACAGTCCTGTGCTAAGTACATGCTTCACATCAACACTATTGTATACCCTATAAAAAAAATTTTAAATAGCTGTGTTTTTAGGTATACAAAAACCCTTACATAACTAATACAGAAATGTAAAAACCATCTACATATTTTGGGAAAGGTATGTCATGACCTAATCAAAAACAGTCAGGGAAAAACTGAAATTCAAGCTAAATCTGCCTGGAAATCAAGAACATGTTTGTCCAAGGAGTGGGAGGGGCAAAGAGCACAGAGAGATAGGAACATTTTTGTATTAAAACAAAAATGTGGCAAGATGAATGAGCCTGACATGTACAAGCCAAGACAAAGAACTGTTGACATCTTTCTAGAAGAGCATATGTTCTGAAGCAGAGCCTAATATTAACAGAAGTGATTTAAAAAAAAGGTGTCTTGTTATAAAGGAAGGCAAGCTGGGGGCTATATTTGATTCTTTGGGCAAGAAGGAGCAAATGCAGTCTCATGGAAAAAGTAGAAAAGGTTATTCTAAAACTATTAATCTAGTAGTGATGTGTATAATAGACTGCAAGGCCAAAAAGCCTAGTGGGAGGGAAGTAAAATTAAGAGGCTGCCCTGGTGACACCGGGATAATGTGAGAGGCCGAATGTGGGAACAGAGAAACAGTGAGATAGATACATAACACAGTCATTCATAGAACTGCAGATCTGGAAGGAATCTTTGAAAGTATGTTTAGTTAATTATATTTTTAGAGAGAAGGGAAAATGTACTTCATCAGCACAGAGTTTCCCAATTTAATATATGAAACGAATTAAAGTTGTAAGAAAACAACTCAAAACTGCTATGAATTAACTGGGTAATACACTAATGTATACTTTAGAAACTTCATAAGGAAGCAGAAAGTAGAATAGAATTTAGATTGTCTATCAATTTAACACAATCAAGACATTTAAGACATGGTTCTATGCTGGGCATATCATCTTTATATGCTTCCACTGAAGGAAACATCTAACAGGAAAATGTTTAAAATAGTTTTTTTTTTTGAGTCTGAACTGTATCAGGTATGGTTTTAAATAGCTGGGGGTTTAAGTTATTTAATTTTTACAAGAACTCTGTGAGTTATTTTCTATTAATATACCCCTATTCTAGTATAAACTGGAAATGGAGAGGATAAGTAATTTGCCAACAATCACATAACTCGTCAATGAACTCATATTTGAATATAGGCTGTCTAGCATGTAAGAGATAAAGATAGTGATTAAAAACAAAACAAAACAAAACCAAACCAGAAAACAGAGAAGACAAGAAAAGACTGGCTTTCTTTTTTTTTTTTTCTGGCTTATTTCTAATACCTTAGTATAAGTGTTAAAATTACGTTGTTCCTATACTGACTGACTTCTAGTCTTCCATCCTTCTCTAGAAAGAAAACAAGCCAAGCAGCTATTCATAAGCCTTGTTCACTGGTGACCCTAGGATCTACTTAGCACACTGTTGGCACCCAGTGAGCACTCGGTAAATATCTGCTCAACGAATCAACCTAACACTAGATCAAAGGATCAATTAGAACAGAAAGGCTTACTGAGCTCAACTTCCTAGGCACATCAAGAGGTACTTACTATGGATAAGAGAAGTTCTTCAAAGTCTCAAAAAGGGGAGAAATACAAAGAAAGCAGTTTTTTCAGCTGACTAAATTGTGAGGTTCTCCTTAGAGAAAAAAAAAAAAAAAGGAAGAATCCTAGTGAGAAACCTACTTTAGCAACAGTGGTTTGAGATCACTGGCGAAAAATGATTTACAAATATTTCTTGCAAGCCTATAAAGAACCCAACAATTTGACATGGGCTAAAAAAAAAAAAAAAGTGTTCCTTTCTCTGATGGTAATTAAATCCCCAAGTAAGGAAGACAGCTTCTTCCTAGGTTACTAAAACTCTCCAAAATATGTGTTCATTTCTTAGGCCTTTTCATTATTAACCAACTTTTAAGGGCTGGGCAAAGTGGCTATACCTGTAAGCTAAGATACTCAGGAGACAGAGATCAGAGGAATCATGGTTTGAGGCCAGCCTGGGCAAAAAGTTAGTAAGACTCCATCTCAGCAAACAAGCTGGGTATGGCAGTGCACACAGGTCATTCCAGCTATATGGGAGGATCTTGGTTTAATGCTGGCCCTGGGCAAAAAGCGAAAAGGCCTGGAGGTGGCTCAAGTGGTACAGCACCTGCCTAGCAAGTGCAAAGCCTTGAGTTCAAACCCTGCTATCACCAATAATAATGATGATGATAATAATAATCAGGCAAGTTTTATTTTAAACTGTGCTTTTCAAATTTCATAAATCAAAGTCTTTAAGAAACAACTTGATATTGATTATGACATAGGTAAACCAATGTAATAAAATTCTACTTCATAAAAAATGTTGATAAGGAAAAGATCTGGTCAATATTGCCCATGTTACTCACAGAGGGTACAGAAAAGATTTTCAAGAATTAAATCTGTTTTAAGAGAAAAGGCAAAATAAAGTTATCTTCTTGCTACAGAAGCTAGATTCCTAAATATAAGACACATTTTTGAGTGAATATGGATTTCACAGTATTTAAAAGAAAACTGGGTAAATATGTATTTTCACTACTATTCAACAGACTGTCAGACAGTAGCAATGGGTGCTAATGCTTACGTTGAGAACCAAAACACCAAAAATGTATATTTGGTTTGAGACAGTTCTATTTATACGAACAACAGTCGACATTTATACTTCAAATGTGTGTTATGTTCTGGTTGACAATGAGCATGAAGGGATCCCCTCAAGGTAAGGCAAGATGAACAACACGGTCTTCATGCTTACCGGATCACTGTGCTGAATAGTAAGATAACACATGTGAAATAAACTACAATGAACCAAGGCAGTATAACCTCCACAAGCCCCCTTTACCATCTTTATGAACTTAACATTACAATTATTCTTTTTTGAGGAAAAGTCTAAAAAGCCCTAAATTATATCAGCAGCAATGTACAATGATGTTAGTTGGCATTGAATTACATGTTTATACAGATAGAGAGGTTCGAATACCTTTGTGACTGAATGATATGGGGAGAACTTCCAAAGTCCACTGGCAAAACAAATGATCTTTACACGAATATATTCGGAAGAACCATTTGACTTTCACCTACCAATTTCAATATGCTGACATGCAGAACAAATCAAAGTGATCGCCCATGTTTATTTTACTTTACTTTTTATTTTTTTTAAGTGAAGTAAGCAGCTCATCTTAAAAATATACAGCATTTTATGTCTGGTCTAGGGATGCAGCTCAGTGGTAGAGCGCCTGTTGCTCTAGGTTGGATCCCTAGCACCACAAACAGCAAACAAAAACTTATGCATACTAGAAATAATTTTAAATAAAATCTACATAAATCACATTGCTTATTGAAACTTTGAAAAAAATGTACTTCTAGTCACAGACATACTATGTTAGAATTCTTTCATTTTAAAATTTAGCGAAAATGTAAATGATGATTTAAGTTCGGGTTGGTTACAAGAGTTAATGAAAGACACATGTTAATCCATGTTTAGAGGTGTCAACCACTTGATTCAAGCTTTGGCTTTTGTACTGCATTTCAATACATATAATTACAATGAAAAATACAGAATTGGAGTTAGTAGACAGTAAATAAAGAACACAGATAATCTTAAGACCTAATCTGAAAGACTTCATGTGAGTGCAATGAGACAACATTTAGAGAAATCAGAATGCTACATATGTTAATGATAAGTGCAATACAGTTCTTCCTTGGCCATGTCCATTTAAAGCATATGTCACTTTCAAATATATGCTTCAGGATGATGGTGCATGTGAGACACACCCATAGTATTATTAAATTTAGTTCATTAATGAAGACACAAAACTCTAAACACACCTGCCCTCTCCAAAAAAAAAAAGTTAGTTGGGAAAACGGTATTAGAATTCATAGCTTCCATGCTTCTTTTCATTTGATACATGACCACACCTTGGGAATGAAATTACCTGAAGGTGTTGTGGCTTTGAAATCCTTGGAGGACAGCAGGGCACACTGTTTTTCTGTTCAAGAAAAAAAAGGGCTTGGTTGTCTAATTGGGGATTCACTACATTTCACCACTCCTGCCACTGGGGTATTGTGGTCAACATTAGCCATACTCCCCATCGCTGGGAGGCTGTCCACTGGCGATAGCACCATGGGGTTTGACAGTGGCACCCTGCATGTAGCAAACTCATTAATAATAAAGTTAAGATACTACTTTTACACAGGTGGAATTTTCTGCTTCACTAACATAAATCAACCAAGTGCCCTTAAAATTAAGCAGAATTAGTGAGGTAAACCTAACCAATAACTAGAAGAGTTGAAGGAAAATCTTCAAACATACCCTACACATAATATGGCCAGTTATATTTTACCTTATATTTCCTCCACATGGAGGCAACAACCAAGAGAGAATTAAAGGAGAAAAAGAAAATGGTGAAGTTGTGCTAATGTATAATAAATTACTCCACATATCCACTTTGCATCTTGATATTGCCTAAAAGTCTTCCATCTTTCCTAACTTCAGATAGGTTTCATAATTAAGTCCATATCAGAAGTGATCTGATAATGACTATAAATTCTGAGGGGTCCTCAGAAAAAAAGTCTTGTCTGGGTATACAACAAATTAAGCCAACTTTCAAAGGAATAATAAAGGTCTCATTTCTCTGTTAATATTTTTCCTTTAGAAAAAAATATGTGATAGTAAATTACAAAATTCCTTCCAATGACAACTCCCCATAAAAGATTATATAAAGTATCTCAAGTAGTCAAACTTACAGAGCAGAAAGTTGAGGGTTGCTGGTAACTGGGGATTGGAGGTAAGGGAATGAGGAGTTGCTGGTCAATGAATATAAACATTCAGTAATGCAAGATGATCCAGAGATATGTGGTACAGCGTAGTTCTCACAGTTAGCAAAACTATATTTTATACCTAAAAATGTGCTAAGAGGCCAGATGCCAGTGGCTCATGCCTGTAATCCTAGCTACTCAGGAGGCAGAGATCAGGAGGACTGCAGTTTGAAGCCAGCCCACCAGCCCAGGCAAATAGTTCATGTGACCCTATCTCAAAAAAACCCATCACAAAAAAGGGCTGGTGGAGTGGTTCAAGGTGTAGGCCCTGAGTTCAAGCCCCAGTACCATTAAAAAAAAAATGTGCTAAAAGGGTAGATCTTGTGTTGTGTGTTCTTTAAATCACAATGAAAATAAGAAAGAATGAAATATGAAAGAGTTAGGTGATTTGGGATGTACCTAGACTCTGAAAATCTGTAATTTTTATTAGAAAAATCAAAAGGCAAAAAAATTTCCATGAAAATATTTTTGATTACAGCACTAAATAAAAGAATCTTCTGATATTCAAGACTACAAAACAAAGAACAAAAGGATTCCCACATCAGGGTTCTTTAATAACTGAGGAGACACTGAGAATGATGGCATTTTCTTAAGAATCCCAAGGTAGGCTCTTTCACAAAGCATTAAAAAAAAAAAAAGGCAGAAAATCCTATGGTAAAAATTCAAAAAATTTTACTGAACACCCAATACATGACAAGCAATCTCCTAGAACCTAGCTGAAACAACATCTAGAAGGTGAACACACAACGGATAATAAAATTTAAAAACTAAATAAGCAAGATACTTTCAGATGATGATAAAACTTTAACAGGTGACTGAACAAACACTAGCTTGTATGTGGATAAAGGACAGAAGACCTGTTTGAGATACAGTAGGAAAGGTTTTTCATAGCAAGTAACATACAAAATGAAGTGTCTCACAGGATTCTAAATGATTCTGAAAAGTTTAGAACTTAAAAATATATGGATTTACATAACATAAAAATGTATGTTAAAAATTCCTTGGCACCAAAGCCAGATGTGGTTGTACACACCTGTAATTCAGCTACTCGGGAGGTGGAAGCAGAAGGTTAGTGAATCAGAGGCTAGCCTGGACAGGTAGTGAGACCCTATCTCAAAAACAAAACATACAAACAAAAGGGCTGGGAGCGTAGCTTAATTGATAGAGCACTTGCCAAGGCCTTGTGTTCAATCCCTAGTACCATAAAACAAAACATAACAAAATCCCTTGGTAATAAGATATCACTAATGGGGAAAGGGGCATGAAGGGAACATGAAACTCTGTGTACAATTTCTACAACTTCTTATGTTTATAATTATTTCAAAATTAAAAGTCAAGAAGATACTTTTATAACTTTTACTGTAATTAACAATGACACTGTCTCTATTTAGGACGTGATAAAAGGAGTGAAGAAAACAAACCTCTAATGTAACAAAATTCCTTCTACAAACATGCAAACTAGGTATTTAAAAAGATAGCAACCATGAAACAAGTAAAAATAAAGTCTTGGAAACTTTTTTCTAACCTAGAATGTCACTGAAGAAGAAAATGCAATGGCAGGAGTTAATATGTGACAGAGAAATTCCTTTTAGATCAACTTTTTAAAGTAACTAAATAGGCATAAACCATAGAAATCTTACAGAACAAATTTTCACTTCAAGAAGAGTGACTGAGATCAGGAAAGATGAGAAAGGAGGCGATCCCATTCAAGCGGTAAAGGGAGAGGACAGGCACTTTAACTTACTGCCTTTTCATTAGATTTTTCTCAAAGCTTGCAAATGTAGTAAAAGCCATCTCACTTTGAAGTCCACACATGAATTCATCTAACACACTATTTCTGAATAAGAAATTTGATCCTCTATCTAATTGTTGTTGCTCCAAATACTGCATATTGGCTCCAGTTAAGGTGAAGTTGGAGCACATGACTTTAGCTCTGCTCCTTCCTGAAATGCTCTGTAAGGACTAACTGTGTCCTTACAAAATTCAGTTTGAAGCTCCAATCCCCAATGTGATGCTATCTGAAAATGGGCAAGTGGGAGGTTAAGTAGGGTTTGGGAGATCATGAGAGTAGAGATCTCATAATGGGATTAGTGCTAATAAAGAAAAGACACCTGAGAGTTTGCTGTATTTCTCTCCCCACGTGTGTACACAGTGAGAAGGCAGCTGTCTGCAAGTCGGAAACGGCGCTCTCACCAAAACCCAACCATGATGGCACCTTGAGCACAGACTTCCAGTCTTCAAAGCTGTAAGAAACTAACTTTCTGTTGTTTAAGATTTCTAGTCCAAGGTACTTTGTTAGAACTGCCCGATTCTAATATATTCACCAAAGCAGTTATAAAGCCATATGAATAAAAAGAATAAGCAAAATTTTAGACACTGAAACAGCAGAAATATCTCTGGTAAATGATTTGTCAAACACCAGAGCAAGCTGAGGGCAAGTGGACAAGCAACCAAATTACCCCAGATTATTTGAGAGGCTCAGGAATTAGCAGCTGTAGGTACCTTAAGAAGCAGAGGCAAATGGAAAGCATGTTTCAGAGTACTTAGATCCCTCCATCTCCACTATTATGTGGGCAGTGAACCAGAAGTTTATTCACTAGAAATAGTAAGAGAGGGACTTTGGATTAGGGGGTAATAGGAACAGTGTGAACACACAGAAATAAACTGCAAGCTTAATACTGAATGCTAACGGTCTCCAAAACTTTGTCCAGCTTGGCTTCCAAAATGCTGAGTTAGGTATAGACCTAAGCAGAGATGGGATAATTCTCTAGGCAATCTTCCTAGGTCAGGAGAAATATCACCAACAAAATGGCCTGCAAGACCACCTTACTCTGAGTTGTGGTCTCTTGATCTCAAATTCCACTCACAATTGAAATGTGACACATAGGCTTCTAGATCTCAATTCTTATGAAAGAGCAGATGATCAAGAATGAGACACCCAAGGACATTCTCTAGTATAAAAGACTGAGGCAAAACCAACTTAATAAAAAGCCAGCATTTTCACCACATCTGAAAGAAACAAACTATTCAGGGAAATGAAAATATGAAAATAATAAAAAAAAAACAAATAAACTTTAGAGAGATGAGAGAAAGAAATACACACATGAATGGACAGAAATAATTAAAAAAAAAAAAACCACACAAATTCTTACAAATGAAAAACATGTCACAAATGGAAAAACTCCAAAGAAGGGAGTGATGATACAGCCGAGAGGTTTTCTTATCAAGTACCCCCAAAAAAAAGAAAAGAAAAAGAGAAAATGTAAGAAAATGGGAAGGATAGTCAAAGGACATTTGACTACATAAAGAAAAGAGAGGGGAGGGTTTTATTAAATAATTTATGAAACTTTCCCCAAATTAAAGGATACGCATTCCAAGACTAAAAAGGTTCAATGAGTATCTAGCATGATGTATGAAAATAAGACTAGCTAAGCACATTATCATGAAATTTCAGAGCAGTAGGGACAAAGAAAGGACTCTAAAAGCTTCTAGTGAAAAATATTTAGCAAGTCCTGAAGAATCAACAACCTATGTACCTTCAAATTTCTCAAGAACAGCATAGGAGTATAGAATATAATGCAGATATTACTTTTTAAATTCTGAAATAAAATTATTTCCAATCTAGAATCTGATATTGAAAGGAGAACTGGTATAATGCAAGCAGCAGGATTACCCAAAATGACTTTTGACTGCTCACCTCGCCTACCTGGAGAAAGACAGAACTGAGACACAGCCACTCTCCAAAGGAAGGGCTGCACCCAAGCTCAACTCCCCGTAGAGTGGTAGCTCCCAGCTCCCACTCTGGCAGGAGGGCCTTCTGGTTCAGGATGGCTAGCATTGTGAAACAGCTCCTACAAATATCCTACAAGTGTCCCAATCCTGTACTCCAAAGTTCTCTAGATCACAAGCAATGTGTGCTTTTTCACTAAGCCAGCCCTCAAGCTGGTCCTCCAGGAGTGGAAGCAATGAGGATGGAGAAGAGGGAAGGTAGGTGTTTCTCTATCTAAACGCAAACCCCAGCTCTCTTTTCAGCAGATTTCCCCAGCACACTTTCCTGTAGATAATGAGGTAGAGGACCTGTGACCTCAGGGTTTACAAGTTTCTCTTTTTTGTAATAAATCTATGTTGTGTGAGGTAATGGAATTGTTCCAAGTCCTGTATCTGACAGGTTGTCAACCTAAAGTATCACTTTCTTGGTGAAATGGGAAGAACTCATTTTATGTAGCAACAAAGACATATTCACTCACGGGATATTTAAAACAACAATGAAACAGAACAATGAGAGAGGGAGGGAGGCAGAGGAAGAGAGAGAGAAAGAGAGAGAGAGAGAGAGAGAAGGGGGAGAGAGAGAGAGAGAGAGAGAGAGAGAGAGAGAGAGAGAGAGAGAGAGATTGAGAGAGAACTCCCTGCATTCTTTCTCAAGAAGCTGCTAGAAAAAATGTTGTTTCCTACCAAAGAAATTAATGTGAGAAAAACAATGACATAGAATTCAGGAAAGAGGATTCCTCCCAAAGAAGTAGATAGGCTCCCAGGATGACGGGTATAGGGAGATAAAAGTGACATCTGTGCAGCTGGCCTAGTAAGCAACTACTAAAGATCCTAAACAGCTATGATCCAATGGGAGAACACACACACACACACACACACACACACACGCGCGCGCGCACACACACACACACACACACACACACACACACCCGCCACTTTTGAGGTTGAGATTGAGAAACTAAACAGCAATTCAGAAGAATACAATGTTTCTTTAGGATTAAAGAATTCAAGAAACATCCCATTAAGAAAGTATGACTTAATCCAAGCTGAGATTTAGCTATATTGAGAAAAGAGGAAGATTTTCCTTCCTGAGTAGAGCACTGAAAGTAAAAGACTGAAATAAGAGTACAGATATCTCCAGGGAATGTACACAGCGCTATAGTGAAATATAGAAAAGGAAACAAGAAACTGAAGAAGCTATGCGAAAAAATACATATGGCCAGATTGTAGGTTTGTGTTGAGAATCATGCTGGGGAATTTGAACCTTCTGAGAACGAGAAAAAGCAGCTGAAGGGTTGGAGTGGAGGAGGTAGCGGCTCAAGAGGAGTAGCTTCAAGGAGAACTATTCTACTTGAGAGCAGACACAGAACAACAGAAGAACATGACTGGAAGAGTGGGAATGGGGACTGGGAACCGAAATCTGAGCTTAGCACAGGGTCTAGTTGTCATTAAATTTTAACAACACTTTTAAAGAACTATCTGACCATTCAACTAAATCCATTTTTGCTGGATTCTATAAAAATACCTGTAGATTTGTTTGATGCTCTCCTTCGAATTTCTGTCACCATTAGTCGTGAGACTTGTGTTGTGAACTGCAGAAGATCAGAAAATTTTTCTGTCATTGTATTCGGAGGAGCATTTCCAAAAACCTGTAGATGAGAGAAAACATTGTTAATGAAGCATTGTCACCTCCTTTTTTATCTTATTCTGTTAGTTTCAAAGTGGAGTAACTTGAAGAGCTATAGTATACTATACTGTACCATATATATAACCACACTGTACAGTACAGCTACACGGCCCCATGCTACACTACACTATATTACACACATAGTTATAGTTACTTTGGATCTGATTATTTTTAAAACACACCTCTTTCAATAGATCATGAACTTAGCCAAAATTCCTTATACATATTAGATTAAACTAATGAAATCTAAAAGCCAAAGACAGTACCCATGGAATCCAAATCAATCTCAAACTTGCTTTAGGCTGAATAGAATTAACTAAATTCATTTTATATCTAAGGGAAATTTCTGTCTTTCTTTCTCTTCTTCAATACTGGAGATTGAAGTCAAGGCCTTGTACTTGCCAGGCAAGTGCTCTACACCAGCTCTTTTTGTATTGATTATTCTTGAGATAGGGTGTGGCTTTATGCCTGGGCCAGCCTGGACTGTGATCTTCATATTTGTGCCTCCCCACACAGCTGGTATGTCAGGTGTGGAAATCATGCCAAGCCACTGGTTGAGTTGGGTTCTCAATCTTTTTACCCAGGCTGTCTTCAAACAGCAATCCTTCTGATATCAGTCTCCCGAGCAGCTATTAATAGGCTTAGCCACTGTGTCCAGCCAGAATTTCAAACCACAATAATTTCTAAAATAAGACTACTGTGAAAAATACAGAAATAAAGAAAATGAATACAAGGCTCATAAAATAAACTTGTTTTCACAAAAAATTAAGACAAATGAACTTCAGAGTATATACATATATATGTATATGTATATATACAAATTACACACACATATATAAAACATATATACATGTGGATTTTTTTGCAGGACTGGAGACTGAAATCATGGCTTTGCACTTGTTAGATAGGTGTTCTACCCCTTGTATTTTGTTTTTGAGGCAATGACTTACTAACTGCACAGGCTGGCCTTGACCTCAAGATTCTCCTGTTCCTACCTCCCAAGTAGCTTAGATTACAGGCATGCACCAGCAATCCCAGAACTTAAAAATAAATAATTCTTAAAGACAAACTGGTATGGGTTCAGAAAAAATAAAAAAATGAAACCTGGACAAAGCATCACAGGAAAATAAATATCTTAATGGCCATCTACCTTGATGTATATGGAAATATTATTGTAAAAATGTTCTTTACAACTGAAATTCTCTATTCTACCCTATTATAACACCTCTCATTACAAAGAGAATAACATAATTTATTCATCTTGTATTTCTTCCCAAGCCAGCATCCTATCTTTTGTAGGTATGCCCCCGAAATATGGTTGTTTGTTATACAGACTTCCTCCACAGCCAAATTCTAGAGAACACTCAGGGAGCACTGAAGAACAAGGGAACCTAATCTAAAAATAAAAAAGAGTAGGGCGTCATGGCTTTGCCTGTTATCCCAACACTCAGGAGGATCATAAGTTTGAGTCTAGCCTGAGCTACACAGCAAAACTCTATCTCAAAACACCAAAATATATGAAAGAAAACAAACAAGCAAATAAAAACCTAAGGCTACAGAGATGGACTAAAAAAAAGACTAACTCCCAAAAGGCCTCTATCTTTTCCATGTTTTCGATATATCCACCTAAGATGTATCAAAAGGACAGTGTGAACAATGTGATACATTTATCATGCTATTCTAATATGATGATATAAATATAACATAAAAGAAAGTGTTTCTTATATTCTCACAGTAGATACTATGTTTCTAATTTCCCCCAAATTAAACTGAAACACTAAATAAAGCAGTTCCACAAGCACTACTTTTGTCTAGGAATTTACTGCTCAATTAATTTAATAAAGGAGTAATTTTTAATGATCTCAAAGAACAAAGTGCTTTTCAAGGACTTCTCAACAAATGTGTTTTCTGCTAAGATTTTCGTTAAGTGTGTGCTTATAGTTAACCTGTGGCCTGTTTAATAACTGGAAAAAGATAAAAATTCAGAAGACCGCTAACAACACACTTGGATTCTACTGAGTTACATGAATATGTAACCTTTAATGAAGGGTTTAATAAGTATTCCTACTATTCATAATATACTCATGCATATTAGATTTTGCTCCTAAGAATTACAAAGTATTTTATTACCAAGATTAAGACAACTTTATAAAATACAGTCATTTCTTCAACAGTATCAGAACATGGTTATTCAAATAGGCATCATGCTGGACAAATACTACGTTGCTGAAAATCAACTAAATTTCCACACGAGCTCTAATATTTACTGCTTTATTTCTGTAAAGAAACATTTTCAAAAGAGAAAAAAGAAGACTATGTTCTCTTTACTAATCTGAAAAAAACAAACATGGCTTCTTTTTCTATTTCATATTTCAACATTACTCATTCATTCATTCATTCATTTCTTGACCTACTGTGTACCAAGTAATGCTTTAAGGGTTATGACTATAAACATGAATTAAGCAAAAATTCCAGTGCTCATGGAATTCACATTTTTAGGACAGAAGATAAATGTTAAACATGTTAGTTAATTAGCTGGGGGTGAAGCTCAGTGGTAGAGCACGTGCTTAGCATGTAGGAGGCCTTGAGTTCAATCCCCATTACCAAAAAGACACACTAAAATTGGGATTATGCTAAGGCAGTGATGTGAAGTATACAGGATGAATGAAAGGGAATGCGTGGATGGGAAGAAGCTTATCAGAAAGGAAGTGATGCTGATGCCAAAGCATGATTCTGAATGATAAGGCAAGGAAAGGGTCCCAGGCAGTAAGCATGGAGCTACACAAGACCAAAAAGTTCTAGAAATAAGATGTGGGTGTTTGAAGGACCACAGAGAGGCTGGCTGGAACATTCGTGTGAGAGGGAGAGAGGTACAAGGTGACTTGCAGAGGAAAGGAGCTAACATGACTCTGATAATACTGCAGGATGAGGTAGGGAAGGGTGTATGTTCTAAAACCATCTTCAGCAACAGCTTCATCATGTACATAAATGTCTGCCATGGGAACAGGTTGCAGCTGCAGTCAGGAGACCTGAACTCTTATTTCTCACTCTCAGCACCACCACTCAAAGGCTTCTGGTCCTTAGTTTCCTTATTCATCAAGTGAGAGAGTTAGATTTGAGAACTCAACATTTTCAACACAAAAGGGGGGGATTTTATAACAGATTCTTGACATTCACAACTCAGATGAAAAGACAGTACTTAGGAACAAAAGTACCTTCTAAAAAAATAATATTTGTCATTTAAATCTCATAAAATCCTATATAATAGGTGCTATTACTATCCTTCATTTTATATAAGGACATTATGAGTGAGGGAAGATAACTTAAGGCCAGAGGTGATGGACAGAGAATTTAAAACTAGATCTGTCTGATTCCAAGCTTACTCATCACTACTATATTTTCTCAATTAAACTTTGTAAGAACCATAACCCTGTAACTTTGCATAACACTCACCTTTACAGGGAAATAACAGTGTTTAGCTAATCTTTACACAGTTCTCTTTCCTTGGCAGTGCTGGGAAGCAAACCTGGGGTCTCAGTCATGCTAGGCAAAGTTCATCATATTTTCTTGGGCCCTTTAAAAGGATCATTTTTAATAAATAAATTTTGGGAAATTTCCTGGCAACATCTCAACTAAAAACTTTTGGCGACTCAGGGAGAACAAATTTATAGTGTTAGACATAAAACAGAGTGACAGACATAAAACAGAGGCTCAAGATGTATACACATATAATTGAATGATGCTAATCAATAAAAGTTTATTAGATGTGACTAATACAAGAGGTTGGAATGTTTATAATTTTTTAAGTGGAGTATTTCATTTCTCAAATGTATGTAATATCTAAAATTAAGCTCTCCAGTAATTTACTATGAATAATAATGCTAGAAAATTAACCATGAGCTAGTGTGGTGGCACACGCCTATAATCCTAGCACTTGGGAAGCTGAGGTGGAAGGTTTGTGAATTTAAGGCCAATCTGAGCTACACAGTGATGCCCTGTCTCAAAAACAAAAACAAAAACAAAACAATGAAGATGTAATTGTATTATTTCATACTGCAAGCCAATATGAAATGAGATTTATCAACTAATGCAAATGATAAGGGAATATTTTGTGGCTGTTTCTAAGGACCACTAACTGAAAGTAGAAGAACAGAAGGCCTTGCTTGGCCCCTCCTCAGCTTGAAGGCGCCACCTGCCCCTTGAGAACACGCACTCTCATGTGCTCTGGGTGTAGCTTGCACTGCCCACTTTGCCAGTGACAGGGTATGCACGACTGTCTCAGGGGTAAATTCAGCCAAGTCCTTTGTTGTACAAACCCAAGCCACATGCTATGGCAGCAAGCATGCTAGAGTTGTGTAATAAGCAATAAGGCTGCAACAGAACAGTGCATCCACTTGATTTTGGATCTTTGGCTTATTTGGTTCTAAATCTCCAAACCAACAATTTAAATAGTAAAGGTGATTTATAAGGGATTTAGAAAGGCACTGCATTCAGCTAAGGTGCTTCTCAGATATGATCTGGAAATAAGATAAAAAACAAGAGGAGTTCTGTAAGGTCCTAGAATTGAAAATACATAATGGCATATGATAATAACATATACTAAGGTAATTAATAATGCACCTTATGAATTCTTAGACAAAAGCCTATTCATTTTGAGAAGTTCAAACCCAGAATTTTCTCTTTGAGTTTTTATTCTTGGGCATAAAGGTTAATTCTGTTTCAGAATGCTGAATAATACTCAGACTTGGTAATCTTTTCCTTTGAGAGAATCAGTGAGAGGCAGGATAGCACAGCAGTCTCCAGGCTTGTGATGAAGACCATAGGAGGTATTTCCAGGACCCAGAGTGGAACCTGGCCCAGAAACAGGTACTCAACACATATCACTTCCCAATTCAAGTCTTTTAAAGGCAAAAATCACCTAATGAAATAACATTACCGAGCATAATTTAAAAACCATTATTTTGAGGAAAAGCCCATATCTAGCAGCACTGTAGTTCATTCGTCATTCAGCACAAACCAAGTAAAGTCTCAAAATTCAGCATTCATGCTCATTTTTAAGCAGTAAGTGCAGGAACTGTTTGGCTCTAGGGACATACCAAGCCATTCAACTCACCAAAGGTAACTTTTTTTGGCGGTATGGGGTTTGAACTTAGGGCTTCCCACTTGCTAGGCAGGAGCCACTTCATGTTCTCAGCCCTTTTTCCTTTTCGTTATTTTTCAGATAGTGTCTCATGCATTTTGCCTGAGGTCTTCCTACCTATGCCTCCTCTGTGGTGTAGCTGGGATTACAGCACACATCACCATGCCTGGCTTGTAAGTTAAAATAGGGCCTTACTAACTTTTTGCCAGAGCTGGTCTCAAAAAGTGAGGCTCACACCTGTAATCCTATCTACTCAGGAGGCAGGGATCAGGAGGATTACTGCCCAAAGCCAGCCTGGGCAAATAGTTTGTGAGACCCTATCTCAGATATAACCAACATAAAAAATGGCTGGCGGAGTGGCTCCAGTGGTAGAGCACCTGCCTAACAAGCATGAGGCCCTGAGTTCAAACCCCAATACTGCAAAATCAGAAAATCAGAAACTGAAACAATTATGAAGTTTAGGAGAAAACGAGTTCTGTAATACTGGAAAAACAATGGTGATATGCTACAAAGTTCATGTGTGAATAATATTTATACCATAGTCAGTGGAGAGCAAGCACTGGATATTATTTACACAAGTCAATTAAAGCTGGATAATCAGCAAATGGAAGTAAAAACATGCTATTTAAAAGCTTAAGTGGCAGGATCAGTAAGTGGCAGAAAGTAGTGGGCTACCTATAAGCCTATGAACTACTTGGCTTTTTACAAATACATACTTAAAACCTTTAATTAATATTTAAAAAGGTATTTTTTTTAAAGTTCCAATGTAATCAACAAAATATGTTAAAACATTAACTCTGTTTAGATCCTCCACAGCTTATAACTATTCCTTTACAGAATTTCACAGAAAACCAGTCAAACAAAAATGCCAACTGTGATGACTTTTCAAGTATTACAGAAAGTTTGGGAAATGGCACTATTTGGTGTAATAAGCCTGTCACTTATTGAAATAACACATACGGTCAATTTGTAATCTTCCTTCTTCCAAAACTTGATCATGACAGGAATATTTCACAAAAGCTCACTGCCATCCTTTTACATGTTAGAATTAGAAAAGTCTCACTAAATATAGTTCATTCTAACCAGATTTCACATCATTACTTTAAAGCAAAAACAAGGGCTGGCTGAATGGCTCAAGTGGTAGAATGTCTGCCTAGCGGGTGTGAGGCCCTGAGTCCAAAGCCGAGTACCACCAAAAATATAAATAAATAAAATAAAACAAAGCAAAAACAAAACAAACAAACAAAAAAACTACTTTTGAGATCGGGTCTCTCTATGTGGCCCAGAGTGGCCTCAAACTCGCAATCCTCCTGCCTCGGCCTCCTGAGTGCCAGGATTATAGCATGAGCAAACATGCCTGGCTTGAATGTCTTAAAGCTGAATGGACATGTCAAGTTTTTAAAAACAAACTCATGCTATCCTTTTTTCCACCTGTGAATTGACCCTGACCTTAGGATTCCTTCGTTGAGCAGTCTGGACTCACCCTGTTGAACACTGGCAGCATCATGTACAGCTTCTCCTCTTGCTCCTTCTGCGTCATGTGCCGGGGAGGATGGCACAACTCAGTGAAAAGGCGGCGGAGGTGCATCAGCCCCAAGGCATTGTCCTGTGGACTGCACTCCTCCTGCCTCGGCCGCCCCATTATCCTCTTCACCATGTTCATCTTGGCTGCTTGGTGACAGACACTGCTGATTCTATAGGAAGATGTCAAGAGAGGAACAGTCAAACACCATCACCCTGACCAGATCAAACACACACACAAGTCCCTGTCCAAACATTTCTACCTTCTTTAAACAGAAAAGAGTAGCAAAGTTAATTTTGATAAATCTCTCTGAACGACAAATTATGACTCATGGAACTTAAAGAGTTCCTATTGGCTTTGTCACAATTTACATAAAGCATTAATATAACAAGTAAAAAGGTATCTGATAATATAAAGGTAATAATACACAAGTTTAAGAAATAAAGGGATCACAAATCTTACTACTGATATGTTGCTTAATAGTTAAGTATTTGTAAGAATAAAAAAAAGAAAGCTTTTCCTGATCTCAAAACATGCAAAACAAAGGCAAAAGCCAAATTCCTCCCGAAGTTTTCTGATTATTTAACTTTTTTCTCTAAATTATAAGTTATATTTTGGGCACCCAATGAACCATTTGTTATGGTTTGTAAATTAAATGAAATGATATGCTAATAAATATTATAAATCATAAAAGGACAGTGAAAATAATAAAGATCACTTTCTCAAATTGTAGTTTGAAACTTTTTGTCAAGTCATGTCAATTCATTTAGAAGATGACAATAAACATGTTTTTAAAGAAATAGCTTAGGAGATATTGGATTACACATGATATGGGTAGCTGCTATCTCATGAAGCTTATTTTAGGTAGTGATGTATGAGTCCATACTGAATCATAATTTACCCCCCTTGCTGGGGCTGCAGTTAAAAAAATAAACTAACTACTAGGTTAAAGTACATATGGAATCAACAGCACAAGGCTTTTAGAAAACATTCTTAGTCCTTTCCAACTCCTACTAACTGTCAGAAATTAGCTAATGTCACACATAAAAACAGCATGTCTTACATAGGAGAACATTATGTATATGCAGAATCTGGATGAAATGTAATTTGCTTATTAATATGTAGAAGAGCAACCATACCTGAGATTAAGTTTTAATTTTACTGCATAACCATGGAAACTAGTATGCCATTTCTTAAGAATGAAGACTACTGCAAGGCTAGAATTTTATTTACTAAACATCTGCCTATTGATGTTTTAAAAAACTGTAAGAAAAAGTATTTGGTTCACACTTGCCCTTGAAAATTTTGAGTAAATTTCACATTTGGCTGTAGGCCTACGCTTATGTTACTTACCTAGCTCTGCCATAACAGGACAGGGCCGTGCCCCAGAGAAGGGGCAGAAGACATGATCTGCCTAGGCTCTGCCATTGGCCTGGCTACTGTACAAAGCACCTGGCTGTAGGAAAGGGTGCTTGGACACATGGGCAAAAGGACATTTAATTATAAAATAACAGACAAAAATTAGTATAGTTCAAAGCTGTCCAACATATTAATTCTTGGAAAATATATATTTATGCATACATATATGTTTTATTTGTTTGTTTTTGCATACTGGAGTTTGAACTCAGGGCCTCATGTTGCTAGGTAGGCAGGTGCCTACCACTTGAGCCACTTCACCAGCCAGCCCAGTGGGAGTTTTTGGTTTTTTGGTTTTGTTTTTGAGACAGGGTCTTGCTATATTGCCCAGGCTAGTCTTGAACTCCTGGACTCAATTATTTTTCCTGCCTCAGCCTCCTGCATAGCACCACTCCAAGCTTGTTTTTGAACTATTTCTGTAAAGAATGTCATTGGGATTTTGAAAGGAATTGCCCTGGATCTGTAGATCACTTTAGGTAGTATAGTCATTTTAACATTAATTTTACCAACCCATGAAGATGAGGTATCTTTGCATTTATTTAGGTCTTCTTTAATTTCCCTTATCAGGGGTTTATAATTTTCAGTGTACAAATGTTTTACTTCTTTATATTTAAGTTTATTTCTAAGCATTATACTCTATTTATTGCTATTGTAAATGGGTTTATTTCCCCCCCTTTTTTTGGGCGGGGGAGGTGGTACTAGGGTTTGAACTTAGCACTTCACACTGCAAACCAGGAGCTCTACCACTTGAGCCACACCTCAGCCAATTTTGCTCTAGTAATTTTGGAGACAGGGTCTCCCTTTCTGCCTAGGCCAGCCTGAACCACGATCCTCCTATTTTAAACTTTTTGCTGTCACTGAGATGACAGATGTGCCCAGCTTGCTCAGCTTCTTTTCTGCTGAGATGGGGGTCTCACAAACTTTTTCGCCCAGGCCAGCCTGGAACTGCAACCCCCCCCCCCCATCTCAGCCTCCTGAATAGACTGGGATGACAGGGGTGAACCACCATACCCAGTTATTGTCTGAGATGAGGTCTTATGAACTTTTTGCCCAGGCTGGTCTCAAACCACAGTCCTCCAGATCTCAGCTTCCTAAGTAGCGAGGATTATAGGCATGGACCACAGGCACCCAGCTTTCCTATCTTTAATGAAGGGACTAAGACAAGAACAACTCACTCAAAGTCCAACAGTGAAAAAAACCTTAGATGAGAGTCCAGTTATGTGTCCTTCACTGGCTTACTCATATGCATGCATTTATTTTACATTATAAAATTCCTGGAAGCTGTGAATCTAGTTAGTGTGATTACTTATTTAACAAGGAATGATTAGTTCCCTCATATTATTAACGTATGACAATCAAAAATTTTCAGAATGTGAAAGCAAATCTTCAAATTTTTAAGACAAATTAATCAATTTTCATAATTTAAAAATACACACATAATTAATTAGCTGTAGTCAAGCTACTATACCATCATTACTTAATATTTATCACTTACAAAAGGGTATATACCAATCAGAAGCAACAAAAAAAATTCTTTCCTTCAGCAAACTCTAATCAGGCTCTTCAGAAGTCTTCTCAACAGGACCCTGACTTTTGGGCTTCTGTGCATTGTCCTATTTTGGTAAGCAGCCTGCTGAATCTGTTTAACTGGCATCCTCAGTCTTCAGGTCTAATCACCTGCAGTATCTGACTGAGCTCTGTGTCTCTCACGGGATACCTGACCATGCTGGCCTGCTTCCAGTAAGAATCAGTTAAGTCGTTTTAGCTGGAATCCCATTAACCATGTTTCCTCCTAGTATTTTTCTATCCAATGACCCCACTCTGTTCCCCGGCTGTAAATCTCTACTTCTCCACTCTGTATTAGGAGTGAGTCCCATCTCTCGTCTCCACTGCAAATTCACATTGCAGTGGTCCTGACATCTATCTGAGGGTCCTGAACAAGTCTGCTTATTATTTTTAACAAGAGACAGAATGAATAATTCTTTTCTTTAACAGGAGTTAAATGGATTTATTGGCATTAATGAATTCCTCACAGAATCTCAATGGAAAAAAATTTAGATTCCTTCTTTGCTCCTAATTTACCAGTAAACACTTAAGCCTATCATTTTTCATCTACACTTAAATTTGTATAAGTATGCATATATGTATATATACATAAATGTTTTATGAATGCATATATATGGCTTATTTTGTTTTGAGACAGGGTCACATTATATAGCTTAGAAGCTGTCCTCAAACTCTCTATGTAGCCCAGACTGACCTCCAACTTGCCATCCTCCTGCTTGGCCTCCAAAGTGCTAGGATTAGAGACAGGTTCTACCATGCTCAGCTTAAATGTTTGTATTTAAAATGTACTTCACAAATCCAGTGTGGTACACTGCTATAATCTCAGCATTTGGGAGGCTATCGCAGGAGGAACCAAAGTTTAAGGCTAGCTTTGGTTACATAGTGACACCCTGTCTCAAAAAACAAAAACAAACAAAAAACCATATCATCACACCAAAAAATAAGTAAAAGAGTATAGACCAGTCAGGTCTATACAATCATTTCCATAAAATCAGTTAGGTGATTCCAGTTGCGAGGCTCTTAAACCCTCATAATCTTAAATTTCTTTCTTTCACCTGTAAAACCTTTTCTCATGGCCTTTTTGTGAAGCATAAATAACATCATTTAAGTGCAAAGTACATTACTTACATTCAACAACTCATTTCTTCATTGACCTTGGTCATGAAATAGTTAACTCCTCTTTACATTTTTAGTTATTTAAGCAAGCAAAAGGAAATGCTGTAATACTATAAGCCCTTGCAGTGCTATGTTTTAGAACACTGCAAAATGATAAGAAATTAAGAAAAAACATTTCTCAAATGGATGTTCAATTAGAGGTTTGTAAACCAATGCCTTAGAATAAATACACAAGATAGAAAAATGGGAAGACACACCACAGAAATGTATTTTGGGGGGAATGTTAATAGGGGTTTTCAAAATAATTATGAAGATTACTGTGCATAAAACTAGCTTCCCAATGCAAACCTTATTTTTTTTCCAAAGGAAAAGAGTGCATGTAATGCCAACAGGGGTGCATTTAAATAGCAATGGGTATTTACTGCAATAACCCCCCCCCAGTAGTACTTAATCTATTATCTTATGTTAATACTGAAAATCACTTTAAACTTCCCCACCCCAAATCCTTTAAGCTGATTTTCATTATTTAAATTACAGAAGGATACAGACCAATGCAGACTAGAATGTATTTGTCAAGGACCAGCTGTCTTTGAGAGATTTAGCTAAAAACTTAAATAGTTTTCCTAAGTAACTCTTTAATTTTATGAGAAGAAATAAGTAGCTCATATGGCTAAGAGAAATCTTATAGTTTAATCAAAGATTTGTACTTCTTCAGGTTTTGTCCTTCTTTAATCTTTCTAGGAAAAATTCTGTTTTTTTTACACTTTGAAGAGTAAGGACAAACTCTGAGAGGGTCCAAACACACTAGGTATATAACCTAGCAATTTAATATGTACATTACAAAGGAAGATCCAGCCCTGAATTAGGTTTTTTAAATTCTACATTCTGGAGGGCTGGGGATGCTGCTAAGTGGCTAGAGCTCTTGCCTAGCATGTGGGAGACCCTGGGTTTAATCCTAACATGGGAAAAATACATTAATTAATGTAATCTAATCCCTACCTTCTGAAACATTAAGTTTTTTGCCTTTCAGCGATAATTAGTATCAGATTTGGCCCAATCTATGGGATGTTACCA